GCGCCTGTCAAGAGGAGAGCACCGCTGGCTGGCAGCCATTGCTCCTGCCCCCGCCCCTGGAGGAGGTGGTGGTGGAGGATACTGCGTGGTGAGTTGTGCTGTGAGGCCAGATGGATGCCGCTGTCGTATGCCCAACCGCAAGATGGTGTTCTGGGCGTTTTGGGATTGATCCCAGTTGGAATTATTGATGAAGGCTTGGTTGAGTAATGGCTCTGTGGGAAGGACAAACAGGGAAGCCTGGGTCAGCCTCCTGCTGCCAAGAAGAGAGACCCAAACTGAGCCTTCCCAACACTTTGACTCCCACCCCAGTGCTCCCACACCTTTCATCTTCTCCTTTGGTGGGATGCAGGGGGTGGGTGGAGAATAGTCTCTGCTTGAGGAAAGAGCCCGCAGGTCTCCCTGCGTCTCCTTGCTGGGAATGTTTGCTTCCTTAAGTAGCCCTTTGCTCTCTCTGCACCTACCATCTGGGGGCCTTGGAGATAAAACGGGAATGCCATCTGCTCGCCCCTCTCCGCCTCTCTTGGCAACCCATGGAGGCTCTCCACCTAGATCACTCTTGGATGGGCAGGGATATTGTTGGACAGAGGCAGATGGTGATGGAGGCCACTGCTGCTGGGTGATGTTCTCCTGGACATTCCTCTGCTGCCTGTTGACCTCCAGCCAAAACCAGTGGACAGAAGGAAGACCTCTTTTCTCCCTCCACCCACCCTCTGTGTGGCTTCCCAAAATATCTGGTGCACTGCTTGCCCTCTCAGCTCACCTCTGGGTATGTACCTTTCTGGCTGCCCCCTCAAAGAACTTCCCCTGACTGCCTGGGTAACCAGAGATGGCAACCCTTGTGCTTCTAGGGTGCTTGACTGTGGAGCCGGGGTGTTGCCCAGCTTCCATTCAGGCAGCCCCAAGGCCTCCAAGGCAGCGTGCTGCCCAGCCCGGCCCGGCCCAGCCCGGCCCGGCCTCACCCTGTGGGACACTCTGCTGCAGCTCTGAGTAGATGAGGAGGACCCCTGGACTGGGGCCAAGGGCAGGCTGAGGGCAGGGGCTCTCACTTGGTTGGAGTCAAGGGCAGGCCCATGTCCCCCCCCCCCCCGCCACCTTGATGTTCCTGCCGGGTGGATTCGAAGTCTGGCGGCAGCAAGTGCCTCTCATTGAACTGGTCACGGAGGACAGACTTGAGCTCCTGGTTTTCTCGCAGGAGCAGCACCAGCTGTTTCAGTTCTTCGTTTTCAGCCACCAGGGCCTTGATTTCCTTCCTCAGCGCCTCATAGCGAGTGAAGATAGCCATCCCCTTAGAGAAGCTGTGAAACGGGGAGACTGTGCTGCCTCAGGGTGCCCCAAGGGAATGACATTCAGAGGGCCATGTGGGAACCCCAGCTGCCAACAGCTCCCCTCTCCTGTCCACTGGTGAGCTGGCAGATGGCACGTTGGACAGCTGTCAGTGACACAAGCGGCCTTTGTGATGCGGCCAGGCGGGGGAGGGAAGGAACTGGAAGGCAGGGAGGCTGCAGGGAGGATGGCCCTGCGGGGTCCCCCCAGGAACAGGTGTGGGATGCGCTGACCCAGCCGAGGAGGGGCGCTGGCCAGCCCAAAGCCTGGCGCCTGGGCCTGGGCCGAGCCCGCTGCTTCCTCGGCAAAGAAGAAGGGGAGGCTTCGGGGGGAATCTGCTGCTTTAGGGCTGGCCATGGGGCGAGGCTGGTTGCATGGCCCTCTCGCTGGTCTGGCCTGCCCTGAGGAGAATTCCTGCCCTTTCTTCAAACTGCGCAGAGGAGGAGTTGGACGCGCCAGAAAGAGGCGCAGAGGTGGCTGTGCGCAGCCTGAGAGTGACACGTGCAGCCCTTCTTACATGGCCACATCTCAAAGGGCAAGGCCAGAACATTGGTGTTACACACGGCCCATGAGTTGCCCTTAAGCTGGTGCAGCACGAGGCAGTCAGACTGTGTTTCAGGCCTTTACTTAAATACAGAAATAAAGATTTAATGCAAGAGCTTTGTTGCAAACAGTAAAACTGACTACTGTATTTCCTTGTGCGAATCTGTTCAACCACAGTTGAGCTCGATCCCTCACAGGGCACCTTGAGTGTTCTGGAAGCCCTGAAGTACACAGCCAAACATTGTGACCCTCCCCATGATTTGCCTGCTACAGCATTTACACTTTTCTCTGGACAAGAAGCCTTCCTCTCCCTCCTCCTCCTCCTCCTCCTCCTCTTTTAGAAGTGATATTGGAAAAAGATCACCTGTTGGCACATGGAACAAGAAGGAACAATCAAGGCCCAGCTACACAGTCAGCACTCGGCTGAATGTTGGTGCTCTAAAAACTAACCAGGGCCAGCCTTGCTAACCCAGGGCTATAGGCTGACAGCAGCCCCAAAAGCGTGGGGGCCGTGGCAACTCTCTTGCAAAGGCTGGCTAAGAAAGTTGCCGCGATGCCTCACGAAAAGGGCACCGGCTGAGTCCCAACAGGATCTGGCCCTGCGCTTTGCCTGGAAGAGAAGGCGAGGGCCCCGGCCGCGCAGAGTGGCATGTGCGCACCCTGAATATCCTCACTCCGCCAGAGGCTCTGCAGCAAGGCAGATCTGAAGGGGAAAAGGCCACGGGGAGTGCATGGCGGTGCGTGTGCGCGTCACACGCACTGGCCCCTCTTTAAAGCAAACGTGTCTTTTCCCAGGGAGCCCCCGACAGGTGTGGCAGAGCCTGATTATTTGGCTGTGGAAGGGTGAAGTGGAAGAAGCTTGCCTCTTCGGGAGGGGAGGGGAGGGGAGGGGAAGGAGCATGGCTGCAATGCTGCCACCTCAGCTTCGTCCTTGCCAAGGGCTGGTGATGTGGGGATCCACATCAGGTGAGCGGTGGGCTTCCAATGAGAAGCTCCATTTCATAGTCCCACAGGCAGTGTTTCCCCACAGTTGGATAATTCATCTCACATTCATTCTTGGGTGCCCTTATGAATTAATGAAAAGACACTCCCCTTTGTAGCAGCTGATCCTCAGATATGCAGACACCCTCCCCCCTTACCGTGCTTCTGGAGAGCCATGAAAACCCGGCTCTTCAGGAGGCTTCTGGGGGCGAGCAAAGACCACGCTACCCTCGAGTGATGGTGCACGGGCTGGGCGGCAGCATCCTCATCACCTGGAGTCTTTGTGCCAGCCTGGTGTGAGCTGCACAGACTCTTCCATGGATAGAGCACCCACTTGCTCAGGCTCTGCCAGGATAAATGAAAGCAGCTAACCACCTTTCTGCCTGTTCCCTTTTCTGTCTCATGACCATCCTGAGGATTTATTGAACGCCACCTTGATGGCAGGCAATTTTGTTTTAAATGTACACACCAGTTTAAATACATTTATGGGCTGGACCTGAGGAGAGCCGGTGTGAGAAAGAAGACCAGAACCGTCTACCACGGTTCTTGAAGAGTTGTTTCTTCCAAGAAATGCCCAGAATCTCTTGGGCGGGGGGGGCGGGACATACAGGTGAAGCTGGGTTTAATCCTGCTTTCCAATCCGTCTCTGGTTACAAGTCAAGGTGCAGCTGAATTCATAGAATCGGAAAGGGATCCGAGGAATCATCTAGTCTGATCTCTTGCTTGGTGCAGGATCCAACTAGTTCAGTGTTTCTCAACCTCGGCAACTTTAAGAAGCGTGGACCAGCTCCCAGAATCCCCCTGGCTGGAGGAACACTGAGCTGGAGCATCTCTGGCAGAGGACCATCCGGCCTGTTTGAAGCCTTCCAGCGAAGGAGGACTCCTCCTCCTTGCAGGTGGCAGCCTGTTCCGCTGGCTGAGAGCACCTTCGGGGGCAAGCTCCTCCTGGCTTCCATCCCCAGCTCTCCTCCCGTCCTCTGGGGCCACAGAGGACAAGCCCATTCCCTCTTCTCTGGGACACCCCCCTCCAGATACGGGAGGGCAGCTGTCGCACCTCACTGCAGTCATCTTTTCCAGAGGGAAGACGCACCCATTCCTCGCAGGGACTTGGTTGTGGGTCCGCCACCATCCCAGTAGCTCTCCCCAAACTGCTCCCGTGCCTTTTCTGAACGGTGGGATGAAGAGCTCCTCCTGGGGATCCGAATTCTGTGCTCGTCTGTGCACCCCAACGTAGCATTTGCCTGTTCAGCAGCTGTGTCAGGCGGCCAGCTCACACTTACCCCGTGGTCAGCAAAGGCACCTGGATCCCTTTTGCTGCCACTGCCAAGTCAGGTCTCCCCCGTCCTAGACTTGCGCCTCACCTTTTTGCAGCCAGATGCAGAACTCGATGTGCCTCCTAGTTCGATTCCACCCTGGCCAGGTCAGCCCCCTGCTCAAGCCTACCTGGGTCCTTCTGAACCCCGCCCTCTTGTCCAAAGGATCAGCCGCTCCTCCCAGCCCCCTCGGCTCCCTCTAAGCACAGAGCCCTGGGGCCCCCACTGGAGACTGTCCTCCAAGCTGAAGGGGAGCCATCCACAAGGACTTTTGGGGCGCACCGTTCAGCCACGGTGGGTCCCTCTCCCCATGCTACTATCTGGCCCTTATTTTACTCCTTCATGAAGGGGAATATAAGGAGGCTTAGGCGAGCAAGCTCCAGGTATATCGTGCGCCTGGACCTTCTTCTTAGGGCCTGAAAGAAAGGCGGTCCCTCCTGCCCGTCTGCAGGCCCAGGAAGCCCCAAGACGCGCTTCAGGCCAGGGAGGAAAAGCCCTTTTGGGTGACTGTGAAGACCCCAAAGGCTGCCTTGTTGTCTGTTTGCTGGGCTTCCACTTCGCAGTGTTGCTTTCAGAGTGCATTTAAACCGTTCTTTGCTACGACCTCCCCGATCCTACAGGAGACATGAGAGAAGCGCCTTCAAGGAAGGAGTACCTGCAGAGCCTCAATTCTGGGCACAGGCATGTCCCACAGCCTGGGCCATCTCTGCCAACCTTTCTTTCCCTGTCCCTCAAGCCAGGCGCAAGGGAGGAGCAGCACCCCAAGGACAGGCTGCCCCCAGCCCCGGAAAAGCCCTTTCCTCTCCTTTTTGCCCTGAGGCAGACAAACGAAGACTCTGCTGTGGGCATACTCTGACTTTTATTAGATTGCTATTTGTACAGCTTAGTGCAGAGGCTGGCCTAGGGGGCAGGGTGGGAACGGCTCAGCATGCAGCATTTCAAGCCCCCCAAAGCCAGCCACGTGTGGGGGGGGAGAGGAAGAGAGGGGAAAGCGTCCCCAAGAAACATCAACATCCTGGTAAAAAAAGACCCCGACGTGGTGGCACCAAGAGAGAGACTTTGCACTGCGCACTGGGAAGGCTGAGCAAGACTTCAGCCCCCAACGCCCCCCGCCCTCCCCCAGGGTGAAACCCTCTGCCCAGGACCCAGGAAGGCAAGGTGGAGCCGGTGGGGAAGATCATGCCCAGCAAACGAGGGGGAGGAAGGGTCTCCTGGGCCTGAGGAAGGGTGGGATAGCAGGCCACGAGGAGGACATCTTCCAAAATAAAAGACTTTTCTAGAGCAAAATGCAAAGGACGAGAGCAGCAGCATATTTACACCCCTTCCCCAACTGGGGGTCGCCCAAGAGACACAGGGGGAGAATCCCATTCCTTTCTCCCTCACCCCTCAAGGGAAGGCGAGCCAGACCGGAGACGCGTGCCCACCGCCGGCCCCCTTGGCATGCCGCCTTCCCGGGGAGCATCAGGACCCCAGCCCCAGAGCACCAACCAAGCCCAAAGGGGGGAAAAGGGCAAAACTGGGGAGGGGAGGGGAGGGGACTCCCAGGAGGAGAGGTGGGGAGGGGACCATGAGGAGGGAAAGGGGCCGGAGGGGGCCTAGTCCTTGGCACGGCCAATGATGGCCAAGATGTACAGGAAGATGTTAATAATGTCCGTGTAGAGGTTCAGGGCCGCAAAGATGTATTCCTCCTGGCTGATGGCCAGCTGCTTGTTCCCAAGGATCAACTGGGTGTCCACAGCCAAGAACTGCAATAAAGAAGTTGGGGCACTAGTTCCCAGCAGCTCCAGGGACTCCTTCCAGAAGCAGACTCGGAGGGGCCCCGCCAGCCCCAGGCCTTTGTCCCCCAGAGAGGGGGCCCCATGGTAGCCTCTGCTCTGCAAGGGAAGAGGCCCAGCCTGGCGCCCACGCCTCCCACAGCGCCCCAGTACTTACGCAGGTGAAGAGCAGGGCCCCGAGGGAGGCGTAGACGATCTCTAGGATGTGGTTTCTGATGAAGATGCAAAGGATGGCGAAGATGAACAGGACCATCAGGCAGACAATCAGCACGCCACGGCAGGAGGTGAAGTCGTACCTGGTCTGCGGGAGGGGAGGGGAGGGGGCCACAGGCCAAGTTCAAGGGGTCCGACAGCCAGGCTGCTTTCCTAGCCTGCCCCCCCACCCCCAGGTTTTCGCCTCTCAGTGGCTCTGCCCTTAGGTTGGCGAGGCCAAGCTGGGTTGCGTGCTGCAGGTTGCAGAAGCGCTGCTCTCGGGGGCTGAGCGGGCGACCAATCCAAGAATGGGGGGACCGGCTTCTGTACCCATCTGGCACAGGTATGGTGGCTTCACTCAGAATCTCGCCCTTGGGCTCTTCGTTCTCAGCAGTCCCCCAGAGGAGCAACTGCCAATGGGCACGGGAAGTCCTGGGGCCCCAAGGCAACTGAGCGCTCCCCGGCCCCCTTGTAAGCATGGGAGCGTGCCCCCCGCCTTACATCTGGATGCCATGTGGCCCAATTCCCCCATACCAGTGGAAGGAGAGGGACCCCACCTGCAAAGAGAAGATGACGACGGTGAAGCAAACGGCGGTCGTGATACCCACGGCCATGATGACAGCATCCGTATTATAGAAACTGGCGATCATGCCCACCATGTAGGAGAGACTCACGGTCAGGATGGACTGTGAGAGGAAAGGAGAGCGTTAGTGCCTCAGCCCAGGCTTGGAAGGGCCCTTGCTGCTTGGCGGGCCTCTCCTGAGAGCCAGGCAGACCCCTCAAGCCCTCGTGGTCTGCAGCCACTGGCCTTCCCCTACCAGGGCCACGAGGTTCCACGGGTGCTTGCGCCGGAACTCCCCACAGCAGCTGAGCACAATAAGGGAGATGAAGAAAACCGCATAGGAGATGTAGTAGGTCCAGACGTTCCTGTGCACAAAGCCCTTCACGTCCTTCACAAAGGTGAAGATGGCCACAAAGGAGAAGGTCACGGAGAGCTGGACGGTCAGCACCAGAAAGACCTGTGGGCGCAAGTGCAGTGGCTCAGCCTCATCACCGACGGTGGGAACGGCTCCTGCGGGGCAGCCGCCTGGGGCACCCAGTGAGGGAAGGATCCAGCCGAGTAAGGAAGGGGGGCAGACCAGGTAGGCTCTCTCCGCTGCCCCTGGCTTTTCTCTCTCTTCCACGTGAGCCAAGCCGCAGGGACGCAAGGAGGACGCCATCTAGCTCAGGTCCACCTGAGCGTCTGCCCGGCCCTTCCCTACAAAGAGGGTGGTGGGAAGCGGTTAGCCCACCAATGGACACTGTTCCCCCAAGATGCTCTGTGCATGGAGATCCTGCCTCCCCCTGTCCTGGGGAAGTTCTGGAGATTCTCTCCTCTACACCGTGTCCTTCTGGAGCAAGTAGGGCACCTTCTACAAGAGGAGACCAGAAGGTCCTTTTGGTGCGCAGGTAGGGTCTCCTGCTCCTCCTCTGGCCAAGGGACCACTCCCTTCTTGCAAGGAGCGGACAAGGAGTGCTTCCAAGGGAGTCTTTGGCCGCCCATGGCTCAGTTGAGTTTCCCCTCCTGTAGGACCTCTAAGGAAGGGACACGGGGCTCTTGCCAGAGAGGTTTCTGACCACTGGCTGCCTGGCCCTGGAGACGGTGGTAGCAGCCAAAAGGGGAATCTCTCACACAAACCAGGAACATGCTGGCCACAGCTCTGGCGCAACCCAACCACCCCTATAGCGACCCTCCTGCTGACCTTGCGAATGAAAGCCTGCCGGATGTTCTTGTCATCCCAGCTGGTGGGGGTGAAATCCTGGTTGTCGTAGTAGGAAGGCGGTCCGTCCTCATGGTAGTTGCCGTGCATTGGCCCTGTGCAGAAGCACCAGTGCGTTCAGACTGAGCAAGGTTCCCCATGCAACCACCGGATATCCTGTCACCCCAGGAGAACAGGGCTGGTGCAGGTGGGCACAAGGTTCCCAACCGGAGAGGGTGCCCCCTCCGCCTTGGGGTCAGGAGGAGCGCGCTGAGCAGCCCAGAGAAGCTGCTCATGGGCGGGGGACGCCTCCAGGACTCTCCTCATGGCCCAGAAAGGGAGAGCAGAGCCTGCAGAGGCCTCGAGGACAGCCGTGTGCCAAGGAAATTCGTCCCTTCCCTTTGCCCCTCAGGGCACAACTTACCCGGCTGGCTCGCAGGTGCTCCAGGATGCGGCTGCGCATAGGGACCCTGTGGGTACGGCCCTTGAGGGTACGGTGCTTGCGGATAAGGCCCGTGTGCGTAGGGTCCGGCCTGGGGGTAGGGCGAAACTGGGTAGGGGCTCTGGGGGTAGCCCGGCTGGCCATAGACCCCAGGCTGGAACTGTCCTGGCGGGTGGGGAGCCACAGGATACGGAGGCTGTACGTAGCCAGGGGGGACGGGGGGCTGCGGGCCGGGATAAGTGTCCCCCGACACCAGGAAGCTCTTCTCGTGCGACATGGCTGAGGCCGGGAGCTGCAGGGAGGAGGGGAGCAGGTGAGAAGGCAACGGCAGCAGAGCCAGAACTCCCAACGGTCCTTCCTTGTCCTGCACAGCCCCCCCGGCTCCGGAGGGGGGGGCAGGGCCAGGGCCAGGGCCAGGGCCCCCGCTTAACGGGTTCACTGAGCAATCGGGCGGACGTCCGCACGACATTCCCAAGATGCCCGAAGGAGCCCAGGTGAGAATCCCGCTTCTTTGGTTAGGCACAGCCCTAGACCCCGGAGGATCCCCAGCCCCCCTCTGCCGGGGTGGGGGGCCCATGGGGCTTGGCAGACTGCTCTCATGCCACCATCCCACAAACGCCCTCTTACCCGTGGCCCTACTGCCCAGCGAACTCTCGCAGAGAGGGGAGGGGCTTGGCGGCCCGGGGACCCTCCTCCACCTCTGCTGGGGGCATCCGTAGGCATCCCCTGGCGAGGGCCCGTGTCCCGCCAGGGCCTTCAGAGCAGCCCCTCGCTCCCCGCAGCTTGTTTCAAGACGCTGCTGGGCGGAGGTGTTTGAGCACCCCCCACCCCCGGGTCCTGTCTGCTCAGATCAGTGGGGAGTTCCCCTCACAAACCTCTCCCACCTCCTACCTCCGCTAATATTAAAAATGCGGACCAAGAGAGCAGCATCAGCCGGCGCTCTTAAAGAAAACTTTTAGATGGAGCAGTTGAGATGGCCAAAGCAATTCAACAAGAAATTGTAAGTTACAGCATTAAGCCTTTTAGGGCCACAAGGGATTAACTAATCAACTTACTTACAGCTCTGTGAGAAGCAGATAGTTATCTATACCTATTTCTCTGCATGCACACAGACACACATTTTCACGCTCTTCTCCATTTATCTATTCCCAAGAAGTACCCTGGGACGCCCTTGGGACCTGGCTTTTATCCTGCCTTCTAGCTGACAGCCCTGGGATTTTCTGGGGGTCCCCAAGTTTAGCTTTTCAAGATTAGCCAGGATTGGCAGATTCCCAGGTGGGCAACTTGGCTGTTGCCGTTTTAGCCTGCAGTCGCAGGAGCTTTCGATCGAGGGTCACAAGGTTTCAGCAGTTCCCTCCCTCCAAGAGCAACATCTCCTACGTTACCAGCTGGAAGAGGGAAGCTTCTTTGGAGATATACTCTGACTTCCCCATCCGGTCTACAGTGCATGGATCCCCTGGTGGTCTCCCATCCAAGGACTAAACAAGTCCCACCTGAGCAGCCAAAGTCGGTTTGGCGCTGCTACCTCCTAGGCTAATGGTAAAGTCCCTCTCAGGCTGAGCTGGAGGCTATTACACCGGCGTATCAAGGGCAGCAACACCGAACTGGCTGACCCTTCCTTTGCCGGAGTAAGCGCGCGGCCCTTTTTGGACTTCATGGCTCTGGGACCGCCAGTGGTCTCCCATTGGGGGACCAACCAGATCTAGCCCTGCTCTGCTTTCTTTGAGATCAGCCAGGAGCTGCCGCGGCTGAGCTGAAAAGCAAGGGCAGGGAACGGCCTCGTGCACTGCTGCCGCTCGGTGGGCACCTTCCCTGGGGGCCTCTGGGGCCTCCTGACGGCCTGCTCTGGCTCCTGGACCGGGACGGGTTGGAAGGAGCTGCTCTGCAAAACAGACACCTTCAGGAGGAGCTGCGCCCCTGCTTCGTCAGAGGGGTGAACCTGGCCCCTGACTCTGAGGGGGTCCAAGCCCACGAGGAGGTGGGGCAAAGCCCCAAAGGGCACAAGAGTGCCAGGCTGCCAGGTCCGGCCCTTGGAAGGAAAGGCCTGCCCAGGAGCAGAACCTCTCCCGGCAGCCCTTGGCTGCCTCTGCTGAAACTGCGATCGCTGCAGGCGGAGCCACCTCCTCCGCGTGCCCGTCTCCTCCAGGCTCGGCCTTCACGGCTCACCCAAAGCCTGGTGCTGTGCACAAGCCCTCTCTGGGCCGCTGGCACCTTCTCTGCTGTTCTGAACCCCAGGCTGGGCAGGGCCAGCTCGCTTTTCTTTCCTGGAAGAGCCGCAGCAGCTCTCAGACCGACCTGCCAAGGGCTCGTGGGGCACGGTGCCAAGGAGAAGGGCCCCTGGAAGGGTTCCGATTAGCCCTACCCCGTCCCTTTACACAAACGCCCCCCAGGAGCCTTCCCAGCCCATCCCAGACTCCGGGCCCATTGCAACTGCGCAGGAAACCAGCCCCAGCCCCAGCCCCACGTTGCTCTTGGCCGGCTCCCCTTCTTCCCCAGAGCACCCCAGCCAAGCCCACCTTCAGGCCACGGGGCACATTCAGACAGCCTGGCCAGACCAGGCCAGGCCAGACCAGACCAGACCCACCCTCTGGTGCCCCCTGCCTGGCAGAGCAGCTCTCCACCGTCGCCACGACCGTGTTCTATTATGGGCTCCGTTGTCATAGCACCCAGTGAACCACCGTTATTCCCTTTGGACGGGCTTCCTATCTGCCCCTTTGCTTGGGGGCGGAAAGGGACTCCAGTCCCAGAGGAAGCAGAAGAGGGTCCAAAGGAGCACCGCGTGGTCAGATGATCAGCATGTGACACCCCAGAGGAGGGCTGTCCTGGCAGCCGCCCTGGTACTAAGGCACAATTCAGCAAGGCCATCCCCTCGCAGCCTTTGGACCAGCAAGAGATCAGGCTGCTTAAGGACCCTTGCAGCCAGCTGTGCTCCAGGGCAACTCAAAAGGGACAGTTTGCTCTCTGAGGAGCCATGCACCAACTCCTGCCTTCCTGGGGCCCTAAGGACGTACTTCGCAGAAGAGGGACTCAAGCGGGACCCGACAGGAAGGAGGGGCTCCCTTCTCCCATTTGCAAGCCCTCCATCTGTGTGCCCCAGCCCCCCCGACCTGTCAGGGGACCCCTGGCCCCACAAGCCCCCTCCTCTCCCAAGCAGGGACAAGCCATTGCAAGGGAATCAGCAGGGGGTCCCTCCAGGCCCAGAAGCTTTCCCATCTCACGAGTGAGATGAGCTGAAACCACATGGGGAGGTCTGCCAAGCGGATGGGCTTATCCCTTTTAAAAACTGTGCTACCTTTTAACGTGGATGTTCTGAGATGGTATGCAATCGGGTATCTAACAAAGTTATAGAAACTCAAAAAGATAAACTGAAATGTACAACATTTCAGCAACTTCAGGAGACCCTGGTTCCTTTATTCAATTATTTGCTTTATTGAATTTATATGCTGCCCAACTCCCAGCGACTCTGGGCAGTTTACAAACTCCTGCTCCAAAATAACCCCAACCCCCAACCTTTCAGCGGCGGGGCAAGACCCTCCTCGCCACCTCAGTCCAGCTTTCCTTGCTCAGGGCCCAGTCAGGAAAGCCCCCCCCCCGCACCCCAAGGCGGAGGGGAACCTGATGCAGACCCCTGCCTCTGCAGACCTAACCCAGAGCCAGCGTGGGCAAGTATTTCGGCGCCTGTGTGCTGCCACCATGCCAGAGACCACCCAGATTAAAACCAGCAAAACAGGAAACAGAGAAGCAGAAGGAGCAATCAGGACACCGGGGCAGGGGGGCGACATCCTGCCAGAGTCACAGCACAGAAGCCCACTCCCGGAGGGGGGCTCGTGCCCTGCCCTGCCCTGCCCTGCCACAAGAGCCGGTTTTAAAGCTGTATGGAAGCGCGACAGGGCCCTGGGGCAGCTGGGCCTGGCCTGCCTGCGAAGACGGGATTCCTCGGCCTCCCGTTTCCAGCGAGCGCGCAGGGCCCTCCCGTCAGCAGCAAACGCAACTGTTGTGCTCGCAGCAAGAAAACGGGGATCTGGGGATGGCATCTCAGTCTGCTGCCAACTAGCCAGGGCCCCAGTTAGGGCTCTGAACCCGCCGCTCCCCGCCGGGATCTGCGCCTGCAAGCCCCGCTGCTCCCCAGATCCGGGGAGGGGGACGGAGCCGGGGCTCTAAGCTTGGCTCTGGAAAGGGGGGCGGCCCTGAAGGCCAGCTGCCGCAGGAAACCCGGCCGGCAGAGACGACGGCGGCGACGAGGAGGATGGACAGGTGACCCAGCCGTGCGCTGGCACCGGCTCCCGCCCCGCGTCACTGCCAAATGCGCAAAGCGAGTGGAGGGACTGGCAGTGCCCCAGGCTCATCAG